TGCCCCGTAAAGAATTTGTGCCAATGTTTTGGCCTCAAAAAGTTTTAAGGCAGCAGGAAACAAAAAGACCAAAACACCTCACCAGAACCAACACCTAGATGAACAGAGATTAACACCAAGAGTAACGATTGACTAACAATTAAGAAGCAAAGAATACCCCAATCAAGGAACTACCAACTCAGACAAATGTTAATCACAAGCAAATAGTCCAATTAAGGAACCACCAATACCACTCTCGTTGACAGTAACAGACAGTGGTGGGATTCAGCCAGTCCGCACCTATTCAGGAGAACCGGTTGTTAACTTTCTATGCAGCTCAGAGAACTGGTTGTTGGAACAGAGCAAGCTACCAGTATATAAAATGAGAACAAACTTCACTCTCTACTAGTACTAGTACTAGTACTAGTACTAGTACTGATAATGTTACCTTGTCTGGAAATGAAACATCTGCAAAAAAACAACTGAGCTGATAGAGCACCAAAGACCCCACAGTTCAACCCTGAACTACAAAAATTCTCTTCTATGAATACTGGGGTATGCATGCCTGAAAAAAGCCACAAGTTAAAACACTTGGTCCAAATATGTTTTCTTTTTGGTCCTCTTCTATTTCTCATGCAAATAATATTGCTCTGCATTCATCACCACAGAGGAAGCAGCATTTCTCAGCTGAGTCCAATTGCTTCCAGGACTACACAGTCTATGCTTGCAAGACTACAACAGCCCACAGCTATAGCAACCAGAGCTTGGTTGTTACCAACTCACTGGAAAAGGAAATAAGACATCTTCAATTAGAACTGAGCCCATGTGTTTTACCTGTTGGGCCATAGGCAAAAATGGTTGCATTGTATCCAGAGATGATCCCTTCTATGAGTCCTTTAGTGGTGGCACGATAGACCATTTCCTACAGGGAGAGATGAAGAGGTATGAATAGATGAAAAACATGAAATAACTTATTTTTAGGGACGAAGTAATTGCCCTAAAGATAAAAGGATGGATGGCAAAGAACCTTATCAGAGGCATCTACAAAAGGGATAGGAAAAGTCAAGATGGCAGTTACAAGTGCACAGTTGAATACCTGTGTGTGAAATTGACACATGTATAATAGAGGTGAGGCTTCAACTGCACAGTCATGATTGCCAACTTGACTTTTTAAACTCTTTACTATGGATATCCTTGAACTTTATCTATTCCTCCTTTGCCAGCAGCTCTTCAGTTTGGCTTTGCTACTGCCTTGCTATCTGGCGTGCAATCTAACCAGTCTGCCCATGGATCATTGACTGAAGAAGCTGGAATGTATCTTGAGATGCAAATAAATAAATAGCACACAGAGCAACTACTTGGGACAGTCCCACATGTCAGATTTATTGTGTCGGGCTTGACAGTGGTTAAGCAGTCCAAAATGAACTAGATTTATAGATCTGAAACAGCTGAGTTAAAACAAGTCAATCTACCCACATTTCCCTTTGGCTGGATAGGCAGTATGCTGAAACTCTGCTTCTGAGCTAAATCAATAAAATAAAAGGGACTTGATTCTTTCTCCCCATTGGCACTTGTCGGCTCTTCTCCTCTTCAAGTTTCAAGTTTAATTTTATTTATAGGCCGCCCAATCCCGGAGGACTCCGGGCGGCTTACAGCGAGGGGAGGAAAACAATAAAATAAAATAAAAATAAAAATAGACAAGTTAAAAACAACACAAATAAATTCGCTTCAGTCGGGGCTGGACCTCAACAATGGGGTCAACAGCCCCAGGTCTGCCGGAATAGCCAGGTCTTGACAGCTTTTCTGAAGGCCATGAGAGTGGGCGAGGTCCGGATTTCTGGGAGTAGTTCGTTCCAAAGGGTCGGAGCAGCCACAGAGAAGGCTCTCCTCTGGGGAGCTACCAGCCGACATTGTCTGGCTGACGGCATCTGAAGGAGGCCCACCCTGTGGGATCTTATCAGCCGTTGGGAGGAGTGTGGCAGTAAGTGGTCTCGCAGGTATGCTGGTCCTAAGCCATGCAGGGCTTTAAAGGTAATAACCAACACCTTGAATTGCGTCCAATAGGGTTAGGGTTAGACCAATAGGTAGCCAGTGCAGCTCAGGAAGGATAGGTGTAACATGGGTGTACCTAGGTACACCCAATATCGCTCGTGCGGCTGCATTCTGGACTAGTTGCAGTCTCCGAACGCTTTTCAAGGATAGCCCCATGTAGAGCGTGTTGCAGTAATCCAGCCTTGAGGTGACTAGGGCATGAGTGACAGTCTGGAGTGCCTCCCGATCCAAGTAGGGCCGCAATTGATGCACCAGACGAACTTGGGCAAAGGCCCCCCTGGTCACAGCAACAGATGGTGTTCCAGTGTCAGCTGTGAATCCAGGAGGACCCCCAGATTGCGAGCCCTCTCTGAGGGGTGTAAGTTTTCACCCCCAGGATCAAGGATGGACTGTCTGAACTATCCTTCGGGGGGAACATCCATAGCCACTCAGTCTCTTGAAATGCTCGTATCTCTTCTTTAACAAATTCTTGGTTTAAGAAACACGGCATGTTGATATTGGCTATATATACATCAATGCAAAGTGGTCCAGGATGACTCATAAAAGGAGACCCACATCTTCTCTTCAAAAACATTCTGAGAAACAATGACCAGTGGTTGCAAAAATATGTTCACCCAAAAGGCAAGAGATTTTTGGTTCTGTATTTCCAGTCATCTATATCTCACAAAGCGCTTCTTACTCTACTCCTTCTCTGCTCCCCTCTCTGATTCTCAGTCCATGAATAACACTTGTCAGAGGAGAAAAAGATCTCACTCAGAAGCTTCAGTTTCAGTCTATGTGCAAATTACTTCAAAATGGAGCTCACAGTTTGGCCTAGCTGTCCCACCAGATACTTATACCACCTCCTTTAACGCCTGCAGTAGCATGAATCCCCCCCCCCAAAATATGAGATTAGAAAAAGAAGAGCTGTGTGAGAAACTGTTTATGTGTTTTTCTTCTAGCAATGTCTGGATGTGCTTCTTCCCATCCCCACAACTGAGTGGGCCAAAGTAGATGGGACTCCCTAAATGTTTCTCAAAAAGAGAAGTGTGATTTGGCTGGAAATTAATAACCTCCCCACACAAAATAACAAGCATAAAAATCCACATATTGTAAGGGGGGGGAATATGGCCCCTTTCTGACCTTTAACTTTAACTCCCAGAATTCCTGAGCATAGCTGGCTCAGGAATTCTGGGAGTTGAAATCCACAGGTCTTGAATTTGCTGAATTCGCTTTCTCTGTCAATCTACTGCCACAAGTTCTTGGCCTATTGACACTGCTTTTCATCTATATATTTTAAAAAGACTGGGTTAAAGAAAACCCTCTTCTGTTCAGAATGCCTGGGGGCAGGCCTCACCTGAGTAGCAGCAAAATCAAAGGCCACATCGAACAGATAGGATTTCTCTCGTGACCGGTTGGCACGGAGCACATCATCAGGATCATCCAATGGGTCCATTAGCACAATCATCTGCAGGAATGGATGGGGATTTTGATAAATTATGTTAGGTGTTTTTACTGAAGAGGCAGGAACAAATCTTAACAAGGGAGATAAAGAAATGAAGAGTATGCCAAGTATTTTTTTATCCAAGGGCAACATTTTGCAGTCACATCCCATTTTCAATTCCTTTTTCTTGCCCTTCTGTTGCAAGGGAGCAGCAGGTAAGATGCATGCCAGAACTCGCAAACAGCAGACAGGAATCAGGCAAAAACTTGGGACACCAAAGAGTAAAACGGAAGATGTAATCACAGCATTATTGCACAAGATAGGATGTTTGTTAATAAATTCTCTTCCACCTTTGTCCCTGGCCAAAGAGAACTGGCAGTATTTCAAAACTCTGCAAATTGGTTTACCACTAGAAAAGAGAAACAGAGAAACAAAGAAAGAGGCACATTATACTGGCAACAATACTTCGATCATAGATCTGGATTTTATACTATATTCACCTCTGGCCTTATTTTAGAAAGATTCTGGGCAAAATGTTACCTTGCTTCAGGACTCGTTATATGTAACCATGAAATGTAATACCCTCAATTGCAAGATTTTCCCCTCAAGCTCAACGCTAGTTGCCTAGTAACTGGTTTGCTAGCTCAAAGGGAAGCAATTTAATGTACTTCAGTAATTATCCATCACCTATCATGTTGCTAGGGATTTATGAAAGGCATAATCCAAAACATATGGGGGGGCAAAACCTGCCTACCTTTATGTTAATTCCTTCTAATCCAATACTAAATATACCCTACTTTAGGAGTCTATATTTGTTCTTTAGACTTTATGATCTCAAGGTGAAACAAGCCAGTAACTTGAAAAGTAGAAATTGGAAAAAATGGCAGGGCAGAAAGGTTGCCAGGATTGTAATATGTGTTCCAAATTGTCTGGAGTTGCCACAGGGTTATTTTATCTCTCATCATCTCAAAGGTATGTACAGGTACAGGTGGTCCTTGACTTATAACCACAATTGAGCCTGAAATTTCTGTTGCTAAGCAAGGCAATTGTTAAGTGAGTTGTGCCTCGTTTTATGACCTTTTCACTACAGTTTATAACTCAGTAATAGTATCCTATTTTCTTCACTTAACGGTTCAGTAGCGGGAGTGTGCATGCGTTTGGGCATGCACGGAACCTTCTGCGCATGTGCAGGTCCGTGATGATGTCATGGTGGGTGGGCGGAGCCTTGCACCACTGCCACTACCGGTTTGCCTGAACCAGTCTGAACTGGCAGAATACCACCTCTGTTATAACTACTATCTAGTTTTTAACTGTATCATGGTGAGTTGGCCACAATGGGTTGTCCTAGACTCATGGTGATCAAATGGGCAGAAATTGGGGAGGAGTTGGCAGATGGGGGGGGGAGTTGAAGGCAGTCCCTTGCCATGGAAAAACTGAGGCTTGAGGCTGGGAGGGGCCAAGTCAGAAATGGCTTGGGTTGGGGTGGGTCTTTGCCTACCGACCATGTGGGTTTTGTTCAATGATGGCAACAGTTACTGCCAGAAAAGCTGTCCCTAAGCGAGGAATGTAATGCGATGTTTTGCTTAATGACAACTTCATTTAGCAACAGATTTGCTGGTCCCAGTTAGAGTCATTAATTGAAGATTGCCCGTACTTCTAAGAGAAACTTTCTGAGTTCTTATATAAGTAAAGGTTTCCCCCTGTCTAATCATTTGCGACTCTAGGGGGCGATGCTCATCTCTGTTTCCTAGCCAAGGGAGCCAGTGTTGCCTGAAGAAATCTCTGTCGTCATGTAGCCAGCATGACTACACGTCAAGGCACACAGAACATTGTTACCTTCCCACCAAGGAGCTCTGACAAGGAAGGGGAGCTCACCCCATAGCACAGTGCTCAGGCCTCAAACCGGGGCTGTCAGCCTTCCAGCTGACAAGCTCAATGTCTTTAGCCGCTGAGCCATTGTGACTCCTTGAGATCATATAAATAGAGTAATCTTCATTTACCAACGGGCTTGTTTAACAACCATTTGTCGTTACAATGGTGATGAAAAAGTAAGTTTGCAGCCAGTTCTTGCATTTATGACCTTGGCAGGTCTGTAAAGCAATGGAAGAAGGAAGATCATAAGTACAGTCATGGTTTCTCTTAGCAACCACTTCACTTAACAACCAAATTGCTGGTCCCAATTATGGTTGATAAATGAGGATTATATTTATACTAAATAAAAATCAAACAAATCATACAGACGACAGCCAGTTTGGTCTGGTGGTTAAGGCACTAGGCTAGAAAGAGGGAGATTGTGAGTTCAAGTCCCACTTTAGGCATGAAAGCTTGCTGGGTGACTTTGGGCCAGTTAGTCTCTCAGCCCAAAGCTCAAAATGTGAACCTAGCCTCAATGCAAACTTTGATATTAAGTTAATTTGGGAATGCGATGACACCCTATTCATTGCAGCTATATAACTTACATCTTCTCCAGTAACTACCCGTATTTTCTTTGTCTTTCTTCCTGACGTCATCCCCACAAGGTATAAAGGCTATTAATAGCCAGGCAAAGGGCCCATGGATCTCTTGGGTACTCAATCTGTGGCTGTGAATTGGCTTATATCTAATTAGACAGCCTAGGTATAATAGGGGAAGGTGTGCTGGGAAATACTCGGAGGGAGGGAGGTCAAGTAACTGGAAGCTGGGATGATATTCCATTGCACCTTAGAACTATGGGTAATGTTGAAGATGCTTATCCTCAGTTCAAGGGCAGATCAGGTCTCAGATGAGATTATTTTGATTGCGGTGTGTTAACATCCATCCCTTATCATAGACAGATCACTATTTCTTTTATCCAGAGTTCTCTGTACCTGTTCCTCACTTCAGGGAGGAAGGATCTAAGCTACTCCAGGTGTTTGATAGATCCAGTAACGTTTCAGAGGGGCATTATTGCCGAATCTCTGGCACAAGAACTTAGTTGCAGCTTGGAATGAGTATGTAATGAGGGCCTTATATTGGATCACACCTGTACAGATTCTCTGTGATCATGGATCCTAGCTAGCCTCCTGATTTATGAACATCTGGAAGATGATGTGATAGACATCTAGAACAATGCTGGAAAAAAACAGAGTGAAATCAACCGATCATATTTGTGATGATCAGAATGCTTGCTTTTCTGCTTATTGCACCCACAGACAAAATAGCCAGAGGCCTTGTTCCTTCTGTTTAAGGAGTAACAAGACAAATTACTCACAGAATTGCTGTAAAAGTTATTCTAGGTTTCTGTTGGACAAAATCACCCAGTTTCACTTCGAGTTTAATTTCGTTGGGCATGCTCTAGCTCATTATCTAGGAAGGGTTTGATCTGATTGAGCTTGAAGAAGTAGCATAGAGTCTTTGTTCTTGTGAGCGTAGCCACCTGTATTCCCCAGAAGGTTGTATGAAGTTGCATCCAAGTAGTAGTCAATGCCTTTTTGTGGGAGAGAGTAGTTCTACTTGCCTGGAAGAAAGTGGTGGATTTCCTTCTCTAGAAACCATTCTTGGACCTGACAGTATTGAACAACTTTTTGTCCAGCTCCAACTGGAGATGGTGGTAAGTGCTCTGTTTTATATGGTCCTGGATGACACAGGTATCTAGACCCTTTTCAATTAGGGTTCAGTTTTGGTTATAGCATTGAGATAGCATTTGTCAGCCTTTGAAGAGATTGGAATGAAGATGGTATGTCCAATCCTGGCCTTCCTGAATTTAACTTTTGTAATATTGACCATGGTATCCTTCTGATTGGTTTCAACGGTTGGAAGTGGGGAGTATTATTCTGCAGTGGTTCTTTTTTCTCCGTAGCTGGTTCCAATCACTGTTAATTGGTCTACCTCTAGGTCCTTTTACATGGGATGCCTCTGGGCTTGGCCTTCTCAACAGTTCTATTTACCATTTGCATCAGGGGTCCCCAACCCCTAGGCCACAGCCCACTACTGGGCAATGGCCTTTTTGTAACTGGGCTGTGCAAATGGCGGGCCGATGTGCACACATACGCAGCTGAACTTGTGCAAGCAGCAAGCTGGTGCACATGCACATGTGTGTGCAGCTCAACTTACACAAGTTGAGCTATGCATGCATATGCATGTGCGCCAACCCATAGCTTGCACAAGTTCAGCTGCACCTGTTTGTGTATGTGCATTGGCCCTGTCCCAACCCACTCCACTAGGCCACCAAGCCACAAAGTTTAGGGAATGCTGATCTACATGAAACTGCTGTGTGAAATCAATCAAAAGCATGGAGGCGGCATCATTAGTATGCAAGATATACTTTATTAAATATCTCCACCCAGGCCAGGCAAGTGATGCGGTTGAAGTGCTTGCTTAGTACCTAACGGCTGTAAGGGGGTGGGTGGGGGGTTACTGACTGCAATTCAACTCCAGCAAGGTTGAGTTTTGCGTTTTGGGCATCCTAAGCTCTAGTGACTTTTTACTTTGTCTCTTAAAGAGGTAGGTTTCCCCCAGAAAAAGTTGGACTGCAACTTAGGGATCCTCCTAGAGTAGACTCACAGCTCCTGCTCAATGAGTAGATGGCAGCTCTGGCCAGGAGGTTTTTGGTATAAGTTCATCTTGTGTTCTGTACCAGGAGGTCTTGCTCACAGTCACTCCTGCCTTAGTTACTTCTCAAGTAACTAAGATTATATAACATTATCTTCATGGGACTCCCCTTCAAGACCATGTAGAAGCTACCACTAGTCTAGAATGTAGCAGGCAGCATAGTCACTCCCTTTTAGTCCAATCTATCATACAGCAAGTATGAATTGAGGGAGAACCCCATGTAAACTGTCTCAAGTTCTGGAGTAAAAGTAGAATATAAAACAATATATACTGTAAGAATGTTAGTTTCCATTAGCGTCTTGAGAAGGAGTTCCGTTATGACACCATCTCAAACATCTGTAAATACCACTTAAAGTCCTCTCAAGAGTCCTTCAATCATAGCACCCTTATACTGGATCAGATTTGTCCATCACTGACAGTGGCTTTCTCGGTCAACCCTACCTAGACATTAACAT